CATCCGCTTGCACAGTGTCTCCACTGCCCTCAGTGCATCGTGAGGATTTGAGCGACCCCACTCACATCCACCTCCCACTTTCTCTCAGCCATTCCTCTGCTCTGGCATTGTTACGATTAGTGACACTTACACTCTTTCGTGAAAACAAAATTAAGTTTTCTGAGCTTCTTCTATAGTAGATTCCAAAAGTATCCTGTGATAAAATACTGTACACATCTTTAAAAATAGTTTCTTTTTTTTTTTTTCCTGACAGGTAAGGGGATTGCAACCCTTGGCATGGCGTGGTCCGCACCACGCTCAGCCATTGAGCTCACCAGCCATCCCTATATAGGATCCCAACCCGTGGCCTCGGCGCCACCAGCGCCGCACTCTCCCGAGTGAGCCACGGGGCCAGCCCAAAAATAGTTTCATATTAATTTCAATGTGCAATAGGAAATATATATAGTTTGTGATTTCACAGATAGAATTGCTTAGGCTAAAGCCAGAGTCCATTTTTTAAAGTAAGTCAAGGTGAAGAAGATGTTAAGTGATGTGCAACACCAGGGAACACAGGTGTGAAAAAATCACAAAAATGCCTGAGAAATTGATTGAGACAGTGCTCTTGATTCTGAAAGCTGACAACCGGTGAGTGCAGCAATCGCCTCTGTGACCACATTATCCCCTGCTGAGCCAAGCAGCAGCATTACAATGATATTTCCTTATCTATAGACCAGGGTGGTGCCTGGCATTGAGGACATGTAGACTCATGTTACAGATGGTTGTTTACAGTCATGCCACATTCCTATTAATACCATGACATTTTTGCAAGCTGTTTTTCTTGGTGTTTCTAATCACTTTTCTTTCCTTGTTAACCGAACAGCATATGTTCAGATGGAGGCATCGTCTCAGTCGTATAACCTATTACATGGAGTCCCCTTTTTGGCTTGCAGACCCACAGGAACTGTTTTCAAAAAGAGCTGTTAATGATGCCACAGTGGGCAGAGTCCACAGCTCACCACTTTTACACTTATAGGTCACAGGCCATTCATGACAAATATTTATTTAGTACTTATTCTACACCAGACACTGTGGATAGAAAAGGAATGAAAGAGAAATCCCTCGCCTGGAGTGCGCACCGCAGCGGACACTCACACGATAAAGCACACAGTGTATTAGAATGAGGTGGCGCTGAGAGCAATGGAGAAAAAGCAGCAGAAGTGGGTGGGAGTGCTGGGTGGGGTGTGGCTTGAGATCGAGTGGTTGGGGAAGGCCTAACTGGGAAAGCAACATTTGAGCAAAGACTGAGGGAGGTGAAGGAGAGAGCTGGGTAATGTACATAGTTGACAGTGCATTCCCCGCAGAGGTAACAGCCAGTACAAAGGCGCAGAGGCAGGTGCAGGCCTGGTGTGTTTAAGAAGGGAGGCCTTGGAATGTTCTGGCAGAGGAGCAATGTACTCTCAGACTTTGGTTCTAACAGATCCTTCATGGCCTCATCCTTGCACGGGGCATCCAGATCCCAGTCTGTTCAGGGTGGGCCACGCAGGCCCAGGACCATGAAGGCCGGTCATCCAGGGCCGAGGGAGAGCAGGCTCCACCCACAGCACACACTGTCCTCTGAGTCCCTTCCAGTCCTCTCCCCTCCCATTTCAAGGACTCCTCATTCTTCCTCCGCCCCATATGTCCCCATTCTCCCTTTCAAGTCTCCTCCCACCTTGTCTCTCCTTTCCCAAGCCCCGTCTTATCTAATCTGTGGGAGAGGAAAAAGGGGATCTGTATAACCACTTGCGTCATCCCCCTCTAGGTCAGCAGTTCTGAGACGTCATTGTTTCTGCCTCAGTGTGGACCACGGAGGGGACTTGATCTCCCCGGAGTGCCAACAAGACAGAAGGGGACAAAGAAGCCCACAGAAAACCAGGTGATTTCCACAAGATACCACAACCCTACCAGCTGCTGGTTCCATGCCAGGTGCCTTTTCAATCTTCTAGTTCATTCCTCAATGCGGAGAAGCAGTTATTACTAACCCACCCTCACTATGACAAGCTCAGGCTCAGAAAGGTTGAATCGCTCACCCCAAGCCACTCAGATCATGAGCAGAAGAGGCAGGAGCTGAACTCAGGTCTGTGTAACTCCAAAGCCTGGGGTATTCCACTGTTCCTGTGGTTCCTCACTGGCAGATAAAGACCTCTGAGAAGATCTGCAAAGAGCTAGAAGCCCTTTCCCTAGAAAAATGTAAACAAATGACATACACACAAGCTGCCCGTGACTTCAAGGGGTTCCCAGACTCCAGATGAGAACATCTGTCCCATCCATTGGGCTGTCTCTCTGGAGAATGCTACCATGGCCTGGACCCCACTTTGCCAAACTGCATAGGACCCTGGAAAATCCTCGAGATATGCTCTTCCAGCTAGCAAGCCCTCCCCACTCCACCCCACCCCGCAAGACCCCAAAGAAGAGAGGAGAGACCTCCAGCCGGTGCAGGAGCATTTTGGCCTCACACACAGAGCGAGCACAAACTTCTGCAGGCGACAACATCAGGTAGGCAAAACTGCCACGTTATTTTCTGCGACTCAATTTTAAAAAGTTTTTTTTATTCTCCCTGCTTCCTCCTAATATCAGAACATTTAATCTTTCCACTTCACAAGAACTCTGTCATTTTCAAGTTTAAACTTAGTCAAGTCCCAGCAGTTGCATTTCTAGGAATTTATCCTAGTGATAAACTCGCTCAAATGTGAATAATGCAGGGATGAAATTATTCTTTGCAGTGTTTTCTGTAACAGCAAAAGACTAAAAACACCCAAAATGTTCATCGTACAGGACTGGTTAAATGCATCATGGGCCAGCCCTTGGCTGGAATGCTGTACCTCCCAGAAAAGAGAACTAGAAGACTCTTAAGGCAACTACATGAAAAGTTCTCCAGCAGATATTGTCAAGTGTAAGAAGCAAGGTACAAAACTGTGTATACCATGTGTTCCCATTTGTAACAGGATGTCTCTAGAATGACGCAAAAAGAAACCTCCCCAGGGTCTATAAGAATTCGATGGGGGGAGAGGAGGGGCTGGGGAGGAGGAACCTGTTCTGTCTCATCACATGTCCTTCCAAACCTTCCCAGGTGTTATCTCCACCAAGTCTTTTGACTCAAAAGCCAAGAATTCGATGTCTTTTTCCCTCTGGTTCGGTTTCCCCTCAGGTGGGGACACACTGAGTTCTCACTTACTGCTCCTGTGGGGCACATCCGATTAGCCCAGGACTAAGCTCCCCCTCACCTTCTCACATCCAGGTGGAGCTGGCAGTCACTCTGGCCATCCTCCCATGCCCAGAGAGGGGCAGGGATCTGCCCAAGATCACAGGGAAGGGGGTCAGTGAAGATTCAGGCCTCAATGCCAGACCCCAGGCCTCCTGTCCAATGCACCCACGGCAGTACTGGGAGGCAGCATGTCAGGACCTGTGGCCCAGCCTCTCAGTTTGCTTGGAAACAGCCCAGATTCTTCCCAGTCACCTGCCGTCACCAGTTAGGACAGCATGACGTGTGACCCAGCTGGACCCACTTCCCCCTCTTGGAGACATCTCCTAAGAAACCCCACTAACACCTCTTGTACACCATTTGTACTGAATTAAATCGTGTCCCCCCCAAAATTCATATGCATCCAGAGCTTCAGAATGTGACTTTATTTGGAAATAGGGTCTTTACAGATGTAATTAGTTAAGATGAGGTCATACAGGATTAGGGTGGGCCCTAGTCTAATGACTAATGTCCTTATAAGAAGAGGAAATGGGGACACAGACACACAAAGGGAAAGCGGTCATTTGACAGTGGGGGCAGTTGCCTGTAGTGACACATCTGCAAGCCCATGAACACCAAGGACCAATGACCCCCAGAAGCCAGGAGAGAGTCACAGAACAAGCCTTCCCTAGAGACTTCAGAGGGAGTGTGGCCCTGCTCATGCCTTGATTTCTGACCTCTGGCCTCCAGAGCTGTGAAAGAACACATTTCTGTTGTTTTGGGGTCACCCCATTTGTGGTACTTTGTTATGGCAGCCCTAGGGAACGAATACACGGTTAGTCTTGGAGGGGAGATCTCTGGTATTCAGAGGAAACCCCTGCCCTCCAGGACTTCCTCACATCATCATGGCTGCCTGAAAACCCACCATCAACACACTTTTTTCCTTTAGTGGAAGGACAGATCCATGCTCATATTTAGGTGTCCCTGGTAGTCACGTCCCTAGGTCCCCTCTATCATGTCTCTTCAGTGCAAGTGTGTTGGTGAACTCTGCAACAGTCCTCAGTGTTGGCAATGTCTCTCTCCTTTCCCCACACTGGGCTCTCTTGGGTCTCCAGCCTCCAGTGCAGGACCTGGGGGTGTGGACTGAGTGGATGAAATCCCTACCAGGCTGCATCAAGGTGGTGGTAGGTCAAGGTGACAGCGTGTGGGCAGGCAGGGCTAGGAGCCACCTCAGGATCTGAGTCCACATTTTGCTGAGAACCCCTTTTTGCTCCAATGTGGCTTTTACAGCCAGTGAGGAGGTTTTCTGGGGGCCCGGAAGCCCTGAGCCCATTGGCCAGAACTCCTGGGAGAATGGGAGCAATTTGCATCAAAAAGAACACAGGCTTCATTGAAATTCTCCTCATCTTGAGTGAAACCAAACCTTGAAGAAAAGAAAAGTTTTAATACTGAGCAACTTCACCACAGAGGAGCATTTTGAGCTTCTAAAATTAGAGGGGAAATGGGCCTCTTTGGGTCACCCTAGTCACCACCTCCCCCCGCCCATGCCCGCCCCCACTGCCCACTCAAGGCCAACTTCTTGCAGCAGGACACCAAGCTCTCTTCTGTGGACTTCGAGGCAAATGCCACGCAGTTCTGGAGCCGGATACGGCTGCCTCCCCAGGGACCCCAGCATGCCGGACAGCAGAGAGGCCCCACAGAACAGTCAGCAAGACACGATCATGGGGACCACCCACGAAAACATGGGAAGGAGGTAAGGTGGTTGGGTCTCTGTACACTGAGCCTGTGCTCCAAGTTCTAGACTTGACCCTGCCATGTGAACCTGGGCAAGCTGCTTCTCTGTCTGAGCCTCAGTTTCTTTCTCCTGGGAAATGAAGGGAAGGGTCTGGATGATCTCTAAGATGGAATAAGCACTGGTGGGGGGGACACATGTCATTTGAAGCACTACTTAGTGTATCTGCTCCCCTGAGTGGCCAAGAGAGGCTCAACTGAAGGAGTCAAACCCCTGGGGGATGAGTTGGGGGCTGCAGTTAGATGCAGGAAGGATTTTTCCATCAATAAGAATGTTTCCTTGTCTCCTCAAGGGGGTCTTCAGCATGTGGGGTCAATGACAGGCAAGTTCAGCAGGGAGCCAGAGGTTCCTTCTCCAGCTTGCTGTGTGACTTTGGCGAGTCCCTGGCCCTCTCTGGGCTGTAGCTTCCCTGCAGGTATATGAGTGCTGTGACGGAAGTCTATGTATATTCTACTAATCTGTGACTCAGAGGAAACAATTTCAATTTGCCAGGCATTCACCAGTGCCCACTCTGGCCCAGGCCCGGCCATCCAAGTAGTGGGAGATCCTGACAAGACGGGCCCCCGTCCCCGCCCCACGACTCTCCAGCCGGAAGTCAGGGAGAAGGCAGACATACATGGGACTCCAGGGGACCAGACATCTGTGATCTGTGCCCAGGAGGGGCACAGACCAAGGGGAGGAGGGAGGGAGGCTTTTCACTGGGGTGCTTGAGACAGGCCTTGGATGACCAGGAGGAGAGGAGACCAGAGCAGCAGGGCAGGGGGCACAGTGTGACCATGGAAGACAGGAGGTTCAGGGATGGGAGAGGTCAGGGTGGCTGGAGTGTAGAACATGGAGGACAAGAGCTAAATGCCAGGCTCAAGCCCTCTGTAGTAATGAGGAGAATCACCAGTGTTGGAGCCACAGAGAACGTGGCCACTGTTCTGACAGGGGTTATGAGGAAAGAAGATGGAGTGGATAGGGAGTAGCTGGTAATGCGCCTCGGAGACACGGAGGCGGCTCCAAGCGCTGGCAGCTTGGCCCTGCCCTAGTCTCTGAAGCCCATTAGGCCAGAGTGGACTCCTGTCCTCCCGGAAGCAGGGCGTCCTCACCTACAAGGCCTCCAACAGCAGGCGGTGCAGCCCGACACTCAGAGGCTCAGGAGCCCCTGGAGGAAAGCTGGCCCGACTTCCGCAGTAAGGGTGGCTTCTGAATCTGCTCTGGACACCGGTTGTTCTGCCACCTCCCCTCCTCCCTGGGCACCGTGGGCTGCCCTACGGGATGCTCACGGGCATGCCTCAAAAGCTCAGCCCTTGAAAATACAAAACAAGGTCTGCTCGTTCTCAAGCTCCCCTGCCCCCATGAGTGAGGGGCCCAGGGGGGCCAGGAGCCTGGTGTTTTTTGAAGCCATGTCTCAGGCCCATGGGGAGAAGAGGTGGCAGAGGGTTCTGTGTGCCCAGCAAGGGCTTGGCCACCCTGGAGAAGGCCAGACACCAGGGCTCACAGAGGCCTGGTCCTGTTTAGAAGATACCACTGAAGAGAGGAGGCCAAAACTGAGGCAGAGCAGGGAAGGACTCGCTCATGGAAGGGCAAATAGATTTGGGGCCCTGTGGGGGAAGAGAAGGGCTGAAAACCCAGGGTTGGAGTGCCAGTTCCTCTACTTTCTTGCTGCGTGTCTTTGGGTAAGTTAGTTAACCTCTCTGAGCCTCAATATCATCCTCTGTACAAATGAAATAAAGTGCCTGACGCTCACTGATGGTGCAGAAAAGCTGGGTGGATTACATCAGCTGGTGTGTATGAAAATGCTTTCAAAAGCACCGGGGTTACCCATCATAGGCATGGTAACACTCACAGCAGCACCCCGGAACTCTCTTAGCAGCAGGCTGGAAGGCACGTGCCTTGGGTTCCAGTCTGGCTCTGCTCCTGGGCAAGACACCCTCACTGAGCCTCAGTTTCCCCATCTGTCAAATGGGAAAGAGAAACCTGCTCTGTCAGCCTTGCAGAGTAGCTGTGGGGAAAGAACTTTGAGCCCTTGTTAAATGCTTTTCTGAAGTTAGAGGCAGTTGTTGCCGCCACTGCTGCGATGCCTCGCTCCGCTTCTCTGCCCCTCCATGCCAACTCCAGCAGCGATGGGCTCTACCTCAGTCCTGCCCATCTGCTCGTCCTTGTGGCCACTGGCAGCTGCTCCAGGGAAAGGCCAGTCTGTATTCCTCTGACTGACCAAGAGGGATGTCCCTCCCCCCCTCCCTCCCCAGTGTTGCAGAGAGGAGGCTGAGAGCCAGAGGAGGGTTTGCACCCTGGCCTGGCCCACATGAATTCCCTTTCATGCCACACCAGCTGCAGGACTGTAGCCAGGTGGTGTGGGCAGGTGTCTGGAGAGAAGCAGCCAGGCCAGGGCCAGGAGAAGCAGAACCTGTTGGGCCTGAGCTGGGACCGATCTGTCATTGAGCTGGCAGGTTGTGTTCTGTGCTCTTTGAGACTATGCCTGTAGCAATGCCATCCATCATGGGCACCCACTGAATGTTTCTGGGGCCTGGGTCCCACTCTGTTAAGCCCTCTGTGCAATAGAGACACCAACATCCCTGAGCCTGAAGAAGCCCATTATGGAGGAAGGGCTTCTGAGGAACCTGAGAAGGGGACAGTTCCTGGGCTTGAAGGTTGTGAATGCTCAGGGTGACAGGCAGAGGCCACCGTGTTGACCAAAGGTGTGGCTGTGGAGAAGTTACAAGTGACCATCAGACCGGCCAGGTTGGGGCCAGGCTTAACTCCTGGGTCTCGAGAGGCTGATGTGGCCAGACTAGGGGCAGCCAGGCAAGAGGCAGCCAGGGCCAGAGGAGGCAGCGGGGAGCTCCAGCAGCTGTGGGAGCAGCAGAAGCCTGGGGAGCCTGGTTTGGGGGAGGTGAACCCGGCAGCAGTGAGGACAAGCTGGACTAGGGGTGGGCTGGGGGCAGGAAATTGGGAATGGGGGCCTCTAGTGTCCTCTCTGGCCCAGGGAAGGATGGCAGGCTCCGAACTGATCGCACTTACCCTGGGCTCCCAGCTGCCTCTGCCAGCACTGCTGCCGAAAGACTGGGTGCAGAGAGGAGCTCCCCAAGAGCCAGAGATGTGGGACAGTCACAGGAGGACAAAGCTTTCCAAGGATGACAGGGACTGCGTGCCCAATCCCTGGGGTGTGCTAGCCTAGGAGGAACGATCATAATGCCAGTGTTACCAAAAGAACATAGGTGTCCTTATGAATACAGAAGATCCAGGGCCTTCTGGTCCAGAAATTCTTTCCCACTCCCATCCCCCACTTCCTCATGATATAAAAACATGGTTATGGGTTTTTTTCCTTCATCTTTGGTATCATTATTGTTTTCCTCTGTTTTCATGAGAATATATTCACTTATTCACAATTATTTTTTGTTGAATACTCAGACACTGTGGTAAGCACTGGAGAATATCATAGAAAAAAAACCAATCCCTGCCTTGAGGAGTTTGAGTTTACATTTTGGAGGGAAGACAGATATTAACAAATAATTATCCAATTCCTTGTTAAACTATAATTGTGACAGGTGCCATGAAGAAATAATAAAAAAAAAAAGAATAAGGAGGGAGTATAATCAATGCCACTGAATTATACAATTTATAATGGTTAGAGTAGCAAGTTTTATGTTATATATATTTTAACAAAATTGAAAAAGTTTTGAAAATGTTGGTAATTTTTTAAAAAATTATGGCGGGAACATAACAGAGACCTGACTTAGTCTTATGGATCAGGAAAGGATTCCCTGGGAAGGCAACATTTAAACTGGGACCCAAAAGATGAGTAGAATTTGGTTAGGGGAAGAGCTTTCTAGGAAAGGGGCACAGCATGTGCAAAGGCTCTGAGGTGGGAAGAAGCTTGTAGTGTTCCAGAAACTAAAAGGCCAGTGAGAACAGGGCAGATTTAGGACTATATTATAAGAGCCACAGGAAATAAAAGTGCTGGTGTCAAGGACCCCAGAACAAAGGGTAGGCCACATCTGGGAAGTCAGAGTTCCTGGGGGAAACTAGTGCTGGTCCCAAACATCTGGATACAGATCCAGATGCCTTCAGGATGCAGGTCAGCCCAGGCCAGCTCTGGGTCCTTACAGGGGCTGCAGAGTTGTCAGCCGTGAGAGGCAGAGCCCAAGCTGGCCTGGAGTCAGGATGCTGGGTCCAAAGCTAACTGACTCTGTCCCCACGCAAGCCTGTGAGTGGCAGTCCAGTGGGTTTTTTTAGGTCACTAAGTCCAACCCACTCTGTTACAACATTCACGTATTGTCAGTCCACTCTGACTTGAGTACCTCCGAGGAAGGGGAGCTTACTACCTACATCTCCATCCCTGAAAAAGACCCAGTTTCATCTAGGGACAGTGGTGATGAGAGAAAGTCCTGTCTCACACTGGGTCCTACAAAAGACCCCTGGGTCCTGGCTTTGGCCCCCTTCTCAGACAGCCCCAGCTCCTTGCAATGGAGCCTGTGAGAGACACTTGAGAACGGGGCTGGGAAGGTGCTTTGGAAACTATAAATATCGTGACATGTGAAGGACATCTAGAGCCTCGCTCAGACTCTGGCTGGCCCCGAGAAGCTGTGAAATGCAGATTTACATTTGCAGAATTTACATCTGCAGAATTAGTAAATTGTTGTTTTTACTAATGGAGGCAAAATGTTCCTATAGTGAAACATAGTGAGTATAATTTGATGACTTTGGGTAATGTATACACCCATGTAATCAACAGCCCAATTGAAATACAGAACATTTTCATCACCCCTGTAAGTTCCTTGTGTCCCCTTCCAGTCAGTCTCAACCCCCACACCCCTAGAAGCAACCACTGTTTTGAACAGCCCCTGTTCTGGCTATTCCTAAACATCTGATGGGATCATCCTGAATGTAATTCTTTGTGTCGGGTTCCTTTTACTCGTCATTATATTTGGGAGATTCATTCATATCATTAAGTGTTTCAGAAGTTCATTCTTTTG